TTCATGCCTCGGCCATATCCTATATATTGGATGATTTTTCTTTCATTGGACCCCCATTTCCAATAACTGTCAAGTTAATTTACAATATTTTCTTGCATTATGCAAACGGAGTAAGGTTCCCATTAATGGCTAAAAAAAAAAAAAAAAAAAAAAAAAAAAAAAACTTTATTCCGACCACTTGTTCAACTAATTGCGGCGTTGAAATAGATTCGCTAGTAGGTCGTGTGCCACAGGTTTCATTTGCGCCAACTTTTTGCTCCTATAGCTGTTGTGATTTCTCATATTTTTCATAATTAATCCTGGTTACATTTCATTAACATACTTTATTATTTTTATATTTAGCACTTATATAGTTTGGGGGATGTTTATTATCTCCCCAGTTTTGTAACTTTGTATCTTATTAGTTTTCGTCATTAATAAATGACAATTTCAGTCATATGGACTTATCCTACTTAATTATTAAAACAGAGCTTCGTTGTGCTTGTGAACATTTGGCTACATAAATTAGTTTTGAAAGCTTACTTCGGGTCAGCCCTTTGATTGTTCGAAGGAAACAGATAGATGTCGCGACGCGAATCCTTTTGTTAACCCTTCATGAGTTTGTGTAAAAGTGTGAAAGACAGGCAACGATCTTGAGTCGCTGTTGATATTGTTCGCAATTAATATTGGAGTATACCTCCTTCGCCTACATGTAAACATCAGACAAGGCGTTGAGATCGATAAAAGTGGAGGTTAATCTGAAAAATTAGATGCGATGTTTGTAAAATGACTTATTAAGTGATGTGCATGTACCTAACATGTTTAAATTCTTGATTTTTATTATTTGAAACATCTTTCATACACGGCCTCATATTTATATTTCTCTCAGGCCATACTCATTTTATTGTATTACATGGGACTCTAAACCACAGGGCATTGTGAAAGTTAATTGGCTACAGAGTCTTGTTATCCTTCATGCAGTTTTATAGCTTGGATGAACTAGAAACAGGCTTTACATAGCTTTACTTAATTTACGACAAATTAAACAAAATCAGTCTGCAAGGTTTGCTTTGACTTGGTGTTAACCTGACACTGGTTTTAAAAGAACAAATATAAATATGTTGGATGGATTAAATCACCGACACCGTTCTATTTTAACTTAACGTGGTCATTTACACAGTAACACAGATAATATTTATAAGTTGTCTGTTGTTCAGCACGCATTATAGGCGAGTAGCCAAACAGTGACGATGATCAATACAAGTAAAATCTAGGCAAGTATTGTTTACAAAATAGATCATGATGAATAAACCTACGCTTTAATAAATAAATAGGGGAGTAATTGTTGTTCACATTTGTCCTTGTCTACTTGTGCCGAGCAAAGAAGCCTGTCTGTTCAGAAAAAGCTGGTATAACTATGGACAAAATAACAGGAGCACACTTTTGTTACGATATTTTGTGTAGTCGGGACCCACAAATTTCAGATGGCATTATATATTTTTTTCAAAAATTTTCATCTTTTGTAACAGTTATCGAACACAGAAAATATTGGTTGAATCTGCCGACCCCCTCCTTGCCACATTTTGGCTGATTTGGTTGATTCTCTCGTGAAATGGCACTTAATAATGTAAACCCATTCCTTTTAAATCAGGTGCGGATCCACACCGGTGTAACAGTAATCCAAGTCCCCCAGAAATCGGGGTCCGTAGGACCTCTGTTCCTGGTAATGGTTGTCCATAGGACTACCATTACTTGGGAATAATAGTCCTACAGGGCCTTAGGTTCCTGGCCATAATTACAGTAGGTAGGACTTGTATTACTGGCGGACTTTTATTCCTGTTACACTATGACAGTAATGTTAGTCCGGCCTTTTGAAAGTCCTATCCTAATGCAATAATATGGTTAAATTATCATAATTATAAATGTATATGAAATCCTTCTGGTGAGCCATATATCAGACAAAAAATGAGAGGTTTGCGTCTGTGTAGTGGTTAGCGTGCAAGTCCGTAAGGTAAGAATTCATGAATCGTACTGTTACATCTATGGGTTCGAGACCTACCTTTGACATTACCATCCCCCCTCCCCCCTATTTATAACTTGTAGCAAAATGTTTGATGGTGTTTTTAATGTCTAATATGTGTTCGAAATTCCGTGCTCTTTACATTTACACCTTTTTTTGTTTTGTTTGTTAAGTGTCAAAGCACCAAAATAGCAAAGGGTTATTAAAGAACATCATATACATATATTGCAATTTTCAATTTCTAAACTGTCATGATTTGCCTTAAATCTCAGCCCATACTTTCCAAGAGCAAATTCCATCGAGTTTGAGGTTATTTTTCAATTTCAGCAAGTGAAAACCGAAAAATAAATCTAAGAACGGAGATCCGCGTTTTGTGTAAAGTGATTTTCCCTTAGGAATAAGCTTTTGAAAAAGAGAGAGAGGGAGAGAAAATAAGAATTTCGACACAAAACACAAAAGGTACAACCCAGTAGAAAAGGACATGAAATAATATACACCGTACATATACCTCACAGGATGAAAATAAGGGATGCCTTTGGATGGTGAATTATTTTGTTAAAAAAATATCGGGCAAACCAGGCTCATACATATTGTGCACTGAGGGAGGAGTACGCCAAAAATATGCGTTAACACGTCAAAATGTGCGTTTACTAGATGAAAAATACACATCAAATAAATATTGTTTTTGTTTCTTCATCAATATGCATATAAACTGCCTATCGGAAAATAAAAACATTGTAAACTATAAAGATAAAATGTCATATAAATAGAATAAAGCCAACGTTTAGTATATCTTTAAAACTAGTATGTCTCTATATCTATTTATTCATGTCATTTCTTGGTGTAAACTATAAAGGACATGCGTTACTAAAATGTCAGGAACACACGTCCCATTAGGACGTGCATTCCTACACGTAGGACTTACATTACTTGGGAGCCTTTGTCCTACGGACATTGAATCCTAGTAACGTATGTCCTAGGACTTCCATTCCTAGCAATGCATGCCCTAGGACTTGCATTCCCAGGACTAGGGCGTGCACTCCTGCCACACCGGCTTCCAGTATTTTTTATCACTTCCGTTGTCAGTCTTCCATTTTGAGTATGATCGAGTTATCAAATGAATAACATAGCCATCTTTTGTCAACATTGACACCTGGGTGTCACAATTATCATTTAAGTTCATAACACACCTGTACTGTAATTCATTTGATTAATTTGTCTTGGTTTCATAGCTGACAGACTTGTAACTACCTTGTTTATCTTTGATGTATCATTTAAAAGGTTATAACTGGTTTTCAATAAAAACAATTAAAACCAGTTATAACCTTATATCTGACCAGAAGTGGTGGGATGCAGGTAGCCTGTTAAGTTATAATGATGCATGGGTTAGATAACAATAAGATGCACTTTGTTATTTTGTTCACCGAGATTTTAAATTGATGAGATGTTATGTTAGGTTTAGTATACTCGTGTTGCGATTTGGAAGACAGCCACAAAAAGTGTCTAGGCCTGCCCCTGTAATTTAATACGAATGACAGCCTTTCGTCTCTCTTTTGAATATAGAGACGAAATAAAATTTGACAAGTGTGATTGAACACTTATATGCAGAAAACCGTATGGCTGCATCTAGTTTAATTGGTTATATTTTTTCTAGCTCCAGAAATTGCTGCGGCAACTTCAAGATATGAAGGATACTGCTGGAGAGCCAATATTTGACCCTTCCTGTGCTATATTTGTCTGCAACCGCTGGGATCTGGTACCGGAGGACGCAAGGGAAAAAGCTTTACAGAATGTGCGTTTGGCAGTGAGTGAGGGCTGGAAGCGGCCCATGGATTCATCAAAGCAGATATTTACCCTTTCTGCTAAAAAGGCGTGGCAGCATAGTCAGGCTGGGTACATGACTCACGACTACAGGCGACTGGTCAGAGGCATCGAGGGCCTGATTCCAGTGAGTTTGCAAAGAAGGACGGAACAAGTGCACCGGTGTGTGTTATCGTTTGTGTTTGTCTATCTATGAATGTATTCATTCAAGTAAACTTCTTCACATCATATTCTTGTTCCTGAGTAATGATAAGATATACAGATTATTATTATGTTGTTAAAACATTGTCTACATTTTATTTACGATTATGTTTTATAATATTGTCATTCTTTGCTAGTGGTTACAAAATGTTGAATTTGACCAAAATTTTCAAACGGCGGCTGTTAAGTTCGTAGAGGTAGAAGAAAGTCTGCCTTGCGAGTTGCAAGGCCCACATGAGATATCCTTTCAAGCAGGGACACTAATGGCAAGGAGCGATGACCGTGGAAATTGAACTCATTTCTTGAGTTTGTCTTGCTTCCTGTGTCCGTGGCACACACTCACCACTTACGTTGGGAATGCAACGCACGGCGAAAGTAGTGCCCTTTTGCGTTAGTTTTGCTTCCGTTTGTGGTGACGTACTGACGGTATATGCCAGTTTTGTTTCCTGTTCTCCTCTTCTTTCTTCTTCCTCCTCCTTTTTTCTACTATGTAAGCTTCTTTCTCTTGCCTTTTGGAGGCATATTAGAAACTAAATTCAGAAAATATTGGAAAATTTTGAAAATTGTTCTACACGTGACACAGTCGACGTTCATTGTAAAGGCACGAGCGTGCGTCGTTAGCATGCCTTTCATACACCTGGCGTGGGGGTGACGCACGTGCGACGCATTCCCGGTGTGCTCTCGACTTTGTTCTTCAGTTGTAAGGGCGTGCGCCTTACTCAACACGCAAATGACACTTGCTCCTTCATTGCTTGCGACGTGCCTCTAACACAACGCGCGTCTTTCTTGCTAACTCCGTGCAAGGGGAGCGAGTTACGCTTGCGGCCTCGCTGTTCGCAGGCTATTCGTAGAATCTTTTCCAACATCCTCCGTACGTGCTTACGAAATTGAAATTTCGTAAGAAGGACTTGCGTGGGAAGAGAGATCCTGCGCAAAATTTGGACGCAAACAGCCCGTAAAAGCCCGTACGGCCGGTTGTGATCGAAGCTTAATGGAATGTTTTCAGTTTTAATTTAAATCATAAGGGGATGTTTTCTCAATGCTGATTTTGAAGAATTCAATCCACATTTCATAATTAATAAAAATGGTGAATATTTGGGACATGGTTACGTTAGTGAAACATGAACAAAAACTATTTTATAATCATGTATAATATCAGAATAATAACATTATTTTTGCTTTTATCCACACTCACACACACACACTTCAATCATTAGGGAAGCATCACTCTCACATGCTTTTAAATTATAATTGACAAATATAAACACAGAGAAATAATGCACTTTTGTGTTTACTGTAACTCTGTATCATGGAACACAAACTGTACAAAGTTGACCTAAAGAATGTTCCAGAGTGTAGTTTTTTTATGAATTATTATTATTATTTTATTAGTTTAACACAATAAAGTCAGTTAAATACAAATTTTAACAAAATGGAGTTCAGTGTAACACAAAGTTCAGTATGATAACATTCTTTCTGACATTCTGAAAAAATCATACAAGGAATCTGTTTACTCTGATAATGAACAATGGGTAACCTAAGATTACAAATAGTTTATTCAAACAAAGTACAATGCATTATGAGTGGCAAACACGCATTACTGGGACACATATTCTTTATCCATTTTAGGTGTTTCATTGTGTCTCTGAAACGTTAATGTAGCGAGAAATCCATAATTGCTGTTTTTACAGACGGTAATTTTTTAACGCGCTGAATACAGTGTAGTAGCTTAATTTAAGACAAAACTAAAAAAATATCATTCAATATCGATGATTGAGTTTTCAAGAACAAAAGAACGTGACCATGGTGTCACCGCGTTACCATGTGACACAGACGAAAAACGAAAGTTCAGACGAAGTCACCCTACTAATCGAATGGTAAGAATCAATCAGTACACATATATGTTGAAACAATTGAAGAAAAATGAAACATATATCAGTGTTTCTCAACTTCATACAAAGAACATCTCTTGAAACAGTCCGGTGGCGGTTAATTACACCAGTGTCACTGGGTTACTTGTTATTAGAATGGGGCACGCGCCAGTTTGAGCTGGCTTTCCAGTGTGCAAAAGAAGCCATTCCTGTGTGAGACGTCATCAGTTAGAGGGTATGGAAGCAGATATAAATATCGATGTATAATTTTCACGCGGCATTTTAAAGTCGTCTGATAAAAATCGATCTCTGAAGTTTCAGTGTAGCGAACGTTACATGGGACACGATGAAGAAAAGTCGACTTTGTTAAGCAAAAAAATGAAATTCTTCAGAAAACTGATGTTAACATGGTCTTCGTGACACAAACTAACCGACAGAGTACTGTAGACGCATTGAAGAGTTTTAAAACGAAAAGATGGGATTAGATTAAGTTTTCATTGGGCTGAGACACTGCATATGACGTTAGTGACTGTAATTTTGTGATCATTTTTCAGTGACTTCACATAATTTTTTATTTAAATAACCATTTGCACATTCTACTTATATCTTCAGTAGGTGTATTTGCTGCTTCAAGAACCATTCAAACCTTAAACAAACTGTTCCTTAAAAGAGGTAGGGGTGGAATTCCACAAAAGTGGACGCCATTCTGACAGTAATTTCGATATATTTTCTGCTTTTTCTCTTTTTGCTTTTATTACAGCATCTTCCTTGCTCATGCATCTTCTTTGATTTGTTTTTGAGTCATATTCAGCGATGTCATATATTTAAATTTAAATTCTTGTTATGCCCCCCATCCCCCCCCCCCCCCTGCGGTGCACCACTAGCAGAGAATGACTGAAGACAAAGATCCGAAGCTAGTTCCTGGAGCTATTTGAAATCATATATATATATATATATATATATATATATATATATCTGCACGTTCACGATACTGGATAACAACATTGGGACATGAGCAACATGGACGTGCAGATATACATACATATATAATACGGGTAAGCTCTTACTAAGAGCATCAATATATTGAACTATGTTCTAGATGGGGCAAACATCTAGCACAGCGCACCATAGATCATGCACAGAAGTATCTTTCTTCTGCCAGTTTAACTAGGGATGAACTTAAGAAGAAACACAGCTTACAGGAGAAACGGTTGAACAGTCTTGAGATACATTCTGCAGACATTTTGGAACGCCTTGAGGAGCACCTTAATAAAGAATGTAAAACAATAACTGATGATCTTTCTAAATATCTAAGCAGCGATCCGGTCTTTGTTCGAGTTACTTCTTGGACCAATGGTGAAGCTCCCTGTGCGACCGATTGGATCAAATTAGAAGAAAGAATAGAAAATGCCATCTGCAAAAGAATCAGCTTTGCCATCAGCTCTTGGGAAAGAGAAAAAAAACATTTTGAAACCCTGAAGAAAAACTTGTTCAAGGAATTCACTAAAGAATTCCAGTTAATTGAATCTGAGCTGCAAATGATTGAAAACATGCTGGAAAGGTCCTCGGAAACAGATTCCATGGAAAGTGGAGATTTGGCAACCCATATGGAGTTAAAAACCCTAATGGACAATGAGGTGGACAAAATGTCGATTGTAGACTTTAACCTAGGTGAAAAAATTGCACTCAGTTTATTTTCACCAATCATTTTACCCATTGGTGCGTTGGGTATGCTTCTTGCGTCCCCGGCATTTCTTTTTGTTGACGTAAAAAAACTTGTAAGGAAGAGGAAAGAGAAACAAATCTTTAAAATATATAAGTCGAACAAATGTGACTTTCTTCGAAACAGAGCCGCCGATGCTTTGAAAGTAATTGCTAAGCGTGCTGTCACAAAAACCTATGTTGATGCCCAACTCCAAGAGGCCAGGGATCATCTACAGATGATGCGCGAGTCCATTCCACAGCTAATAGCATCAACACGAGACTACATGCAGGCAATTAAAGAAGACCAACGGTCTAAGGAGCAGCTTATTGCCACCTATGACCCTGTCGTCAAGAAGTTTACCACAGTTAGCAATGCGCTGGAAGATTTTGCTATGACACATCTTTTCTTGTATGATTATAACGAGACAGATGTAGAACCAGACATCGATCCTATGAAAGGACAAACATCATATCAAGGGAACTGGACCGAAGTTTTCCCTGCCATCTTAAAATCCTCAGAAGATCGACCCCTCAAAATATCTGTCAAGCGCTATAAAGGAACTGCAAAAAGCAAGCAAGTGAACGAGGAAATGGTTGAAATGAGGTGAGTTTAACACAAGCAAATTAGCACAAAGGCATTTAAGAAGTTAGTGCTGAAGAGTCGCCATATTACTTATATGCAAATGCATTTACTACATGTATTTTACGTAATCAATGTGGAAATGTGGCTTTAGAAGTTTTCAGTATTCATGCTTCTATTCATATACGTATTATCTTTTATTCATGTTCCCATTGATTATTTATGATGCTCGTAAAAGTTGTATTTTGTACTTTAAATAGTTCATTGCCATCTCAGGTTTCGATAAACATGTTTTATTTCCATTTTTATATTCAAATATTGGCGACTTGTCTGTTTTATCTGTTAGAACTGGTGTAGAATTGATTTTATTTCCAGGAAACTTGGGCAACAAAAGATGAGATTCATTCCCACCATATTGGGTTCTTATTTGGACCCCACGACTGAACTGCCAGCTCTTATCATTATCCCCCGTCTGACCAGTTTCCGAGTCCTCTGCAGTAGCAAGGACACAACTAAAGCCCTCCCGGGTCAGCTGGTCAGTTTGGTACTCAAGGGACCGGTAGATTGTCTAATCCAACTGGCGGACGCCTCGGCCTACCTGCACAAAAATGGCCTCGTCTGTCTGGATTTGTCTATGGATACAGTTATGATTACCGTGAGTATTTATTAAACAGATATATCAAATTTGATATAAAATTCGCTTTTCCCTTAGGGTTTAATTTGATGTTGTTGCGTTTTGACATAGAGCGCAAAAGACATTCATAGATCAAATAAACAGACCAAGCTCACAGGCTTGTTCATGCCATATAGCTTACATTGTATGGGGTACCTGTACATAGTGGAATTCACGGTAAATGTGGAATGATATTCCAAAAAAGATATGGTTGTATGATGGCATGTAAAATCGCCTAATGTGTGAAGCAATTTACTAGACATTTTACATGTACACACATCTGTTGTATTTCTGTACTGACGGGTATGGGTTAGTGGGCTCATATCCTAGTTTTAAATTAGAAAAAAAATTAGAGCTGGGCTTAAGAGGAAGCGAATTGAAGGTAACTCCTAGTGTATTAGACTTCTCGTCTTTTTTGTGAGAAAAAAAGTGGTTAAAAGATGTTGGTATCTCGCCTACGTTGTATGAGGACTGTAGTTGTCTGTGTCTGCACAGTGTCATAAGGTGCCTTGAAAAGGGCATTCCGTGATAGGTACGATTGAGGTGTCTTGCTTCTGATAGTGGACTAAGGTAGACATATGGCACTGTAGTGCTACTGCCTGTTGGGGGAAAGGGGAGAGTGAACTGGTTACTTTTCAAGTGACAGAATATGAAAAAAGGGGAAAGAAGGGTGGTCGGTCAGAAAAGGTTTCTCGCCTTCGTTTGGTGATTTTTCATCAATGGTATCTTGTCATTGTGAATGATACAAGGCATCCCGGCTTATTCATACTTGGTCAGACGTACATGTATCATGCTTGGTCACACGCGTCTCTCCGAAACAATTGGAATACAAACTGGAAGGTATGCACTGAACGTGTGCTGCAGTAAATGACTCAGGGGTTTGAGGTTGACTGAGGATTTGACAATCTGTGTCAAAGGCGAGACCGAGATCTGTCTGTGAGAGCGGTCTGGTGGTTGCTTAGTTTTGAGTTTTGTTTGGGCTCTGTCCTGGTCATATTAATTCCTACAGTCTGTGCCAAACAGTACGACCAGTGATATCAATCCGATCGAAAAATTTTTTCGAGCTCAAATGTTTAGAAAAAGTAAAAAAAATGTTAACCCCTCAATGTAAATTCTCTTGTTCCGATTGTTCTACCATGCTGTTCGCAAGACTAGGTAAAATTTCAAGCCATTGAAATAGCAGCTGTATGCCTCGGTCATTAGCCAGAGTTGTTGTGCTTTTAAGGGCTCTCGTCAATGAGGAAGAAACAATTTAACCCGTATCTGGAAGCGAGGCATACATGTCCTTTCTTTTGTGTGACAATTACAATGTTGATAGACATACAATTTGTGCTAATTTAGCAGAATTGCCTCTGTTGACTGATTTGTGGGGCACTCTCACATAGGCCATATAGCGTTAACTAGCAATAAAAAAAGGAACAATTATTATATTTTCAAATTCGATTAAAATACAGAGTTTCTACTTTAAATGGGGTATTATTTTTTGGCGAGTAAATTTTCTACAAAATATATACTTTCTCTCTAACAACTTTAAATCCAAAACTGAGGTGTCACTCCATGCGTGGTCAGGCGTGTTACCTAATTACCACACAACTCTCGAAACAATTGATGCATGCAGTTGCATGTTCTGTGGTCAGAAATGTGAGGGGTGATCTTCTCGGCAATTTCTGCTCTTGTATAAAAACGCATGGGTTTGGCCAATCTTTGGAGTGTATTTAGAGAAGCAACAAAGGGATCGCTCTGAAACTTGACAGGTACCTTAGAGATGATATGTTTCGAAAGCTAAGCAACGCAGCTTACTATGGGATTCTTGCTCTCAGAGAAAATGGCCCGAAACGGACAGCCATTGCCAGGCAACTCAACATTTGTCAGGAACCGTTAGTTAAGTCCCCCAAAGAAATGCTACAACAGGGGCACCTACTCCAATGCCTCGACCAGGGTGTCCGCGTATCACACCAAGAAGACATAATCGCCTTCTCCTTAGAGTGCTCCGTGCTGGTCGTACAAAGACAACCAGTGTCCTCAGAAAAGAGTGGCAGAATGTCATTCAAACGCCCGTTTCAAGGTCCCTCGTGAACAAGAGATTACTGCAAGCCGGTTATGTTGCACGAAAACCAGTAGGGAAACCGCTATTAACAGCAGGTCATATACATCGACATCTGCAATAGGCTGGGGACCACGTGCGTTTGCAGCCAAAACACTGGAATCACGTCGTTTTCGGTGATGAGACCAAATATTAATTTTTTAGGGTTGACGGTCGATTCCGTGTCCGCCAACGTGTACGAGAGGCATAAAACGATGATTGTGTACTGCCTAGGGTGCAAGCAGGGGGTGGTAACGTCTCTGTTTGGGGAGCATTCCATGCCGGTGCCCAGAACCAGTTGGTTTTTCTAGGAGGCAACCTCAACCAGGGTTCCTACAGAGACATTCTACAGCAAACAATCCTTCGATTTGTAAGAGTCAGCTTCAGGAACAACTTTGTGTGCCACGACGACTGTGCAAACCCACATCGAGCTCGCAGAATCACTGTTTTTCTTCGGAGCCATGGGTTCAGCAACTGCCCTGACCTGCAAACTCCCTAGATATGAACCCATTGAAAATCTGTGGGCGGAAGTAACTCACAGAATTAATAGCTATGGTCATCGGAAGGTAAATAATGATGAACTGCGACAGGCAAATATCACTGCGTGGAATGATAGCCCCATCCAAACTGTAAAAAACTTGTCACAGGGTATGCCATGTAGGATGAGGGCGCTGCAAGCGGCTGCCGGAGGTCATACCCGCTAATGATGACTTTTCATGATTTACTGTAATGAGTCCTTTGACTGTGGTCAGATTTACGTAAGGTCGCCCAAAGAAAACCCAAGTCCACATAATGACCAGTTTAATGGTCTGTGTCTGCCAGCAATATCCGGCCCATATTTCCAGCAAAACTCTGTATGTTTCCGAAGTCACAGGACACCCGTCGTATCGATCATCATGGCTGGTTACTCAAACAACAACAAGATATTAGCAAGACAAAATCTCTACCCAGTTCCCACAGAACACGGTTCTGCTACCTATCCCTTGTCTAAAATACCAGTCCCGACACTCCAACGTGGAGCATGGTACCCTTAAAGAAATTATCTGGTCTAACTTGCATTTATCCATCGGTGGACCTAAATTAACAAGCAGCCCTACGTCGCTAGGAACATACCAGAATTTTTCACTCCCATACGGAAGCAGGGAACCATTTTAAATAAATAATAAAACATCTGGTCTTACTTGCATTTATCCATTTGCGGACCTAAATTAACAAGCAGTCCTAATGTCCCTAGGAACGTACCAGATCTTCTGCTCCTATTACTTAGAGCGGGATAACCTTAAAAAAAATAAATACTGGGTCTCCAACCTCACTTCGAGATGAACTAACCTGTTTTCACCACGCCATATGAGCCTCCTTCCTTCATTAGCCGTCACGACATTTAATTGTCACTCTTGCATAATAGAAAAGTCCAAAAGTACACCTGTCGCGTGTTTGTCTGTCTGTGTGTCCGTTTTTAATTACTGTCTGCCTACGCACGTGCCTTGCCTAAACCAGTTTGGTCCGGTTTATTTCGACACCCGTTTTTAATATTCCCATTATAGACCAAAGCTTTGATATTGCCTCTATATTCAAATTTGCCTAAGAACACGTTCCTTATCACCACGAACGCCGCTTCTTATCTACGTTACCAAATTCTGGTGTAATCTCCAACTATTACATGTAATTCGATCGGCGCAAACACTTGAAGTTCCTTATCTTACGGCTTGCCTCTGTCGGCCCTTGCACGACAATATCGGCAGTTATAATTAATGGCACAATAGCCTGTACATCTGAACGTTACAAATTTAAAAATCCGACCAGGACCATATCAACGTCACCCTTATTTTACTACGTAGAAATTTCGTCAATCACCGAATCAACGCAACATTAACCCGAAAACGTTAAAATACAACATTGACACCAAAAGACGATATATACTACACTGTACCAACAACGCAAAACTTATCTTATATTTTTCCCGCTACGCAATCCCGAATATATCGAGAAAAATAACCTTTCTACGACTGCCACGTAACAACAGTGCGTAGCTTTTCCCGAAAATTGCATTTTCATGCACTAACGATCTCTTGCTTCTTTAAGAAAATAAAAGTAATCTTCCTAAACATTTCATGTACCGTAATTACGTGACCCTTAACCAAATATTTTGCGACTTACATACAAAATCGACTAAAAAACTGGAGGAGCCATTTATTCCTCTCTTACTATCATAGAATTTTATTTAAAAATCGGCAAGTTTCTCCTACTTTGCACTGAATTTGGAAAGTTTTTATATATAATTACTCTTGACATGAATACCACGGCTCGACAAACCGTTAAATACTACCAAAAGTTACACAAAATCCGAAATTAAAATACCCGTTACTGCAAGATATAAACAATAAGTCATACTTACCGGCCGGTAGGTGATACTGCGCGAAGACATACCTTTTCTATACTTACCTTCCCTTCTGGCCATTTTGTGTCTAGTCAGATCTTCCTTGTGCGCATTTAAACGTAAACTGGCGAAGCTCAGCCAAATATGTTATGAACCTTTTACATATGCCTATGATGAATGTCCTAAACTTATATAATTTTGAACGCTTAATTCAAGCGTGGGCTCGAAATAGGACATTACGTTTTAGACTTACTCAGTGGATAACGCAATTCAAAATTCCACGGTTCGTGTCAGATTTACGTAAGGTCGCGCAAAGAAAACCCAAGTCCACATAATGACCAGTTTAATGGTTTATTGGTTGACGATCTCTAACTACATGTTCTATACGTGAAGCCTCCAACTTCTAAGCCGTCTCCCATAGCTCCGTCGAGCGGTCACCTTCGAGTCTTCTTCAGTTTGCCCTCCGATCTTAATTCTAGACATCTTTTTATACGTATTTCTTATCTATAGGTGGATTCTGTGCTGCAGTATTTGGCG